ATATTTAAAATATTTATAACAGATTCGAAAGATTATTTTCTATTTGTTTTTCTATTTAATATAAATTTAATAATATATATTCTAAATATTTAGTTTAAAAAAATATTTGGCTTCTATAATCTTATTTAGAATTTCTAAAATTAAAAATAAAAAATAGTAATTTTTAACTAAAATCTTATTAAGTTTTCTATAATCTATATATAATCGAAGATCTTTATTTTTTTTTAATATAAAAAAAATAAAGGCTTCTACAGAACTTTTAGAAGATTAAATTTATTCTAATTAAATATTTTTATTAATATAATAATAAAGGGATTAGAACTTAACTTAAAATAAAGAATAAATAGATCTATATAATAGAATTTCGCTATCTTTTAGATTAATAATATAGTCCGAGGGTCTATAAAAAGAAAGTTATTAAGAATAATTAAAAAAAAATATATTTAGAAAATTTTAAAGCTTAAAAAATAATATGATTTTATTAAATCTAATTTATAAATAATTTAAGAAGACTTTATTTTCTGATAGCTAGATATTCTTTAGAAGTTTAATAACAATATAAATATAAATAAGATTTTAATAAGCTTTTGTAAATTTGTAAGAAGATAAGATTTTTAATATTTAAATCTTATACTATTACTATCAATTCTATACAGATAGATAAATATATAGATTTTTTAAAATAGTTATTAAAAGTAGAATAGGGCTTCCAGAAAGATCTGGATTATAATTAATAATTATATAATATTTTATAAATAATTATATAGTTTCTTTTAAATTAGTAGTAGTAATAGAGATTTTCTATATATTATAAATATTTATAGTAAGATAATTAATTACAGCAACCAGTAGGACTGTAAAACAGACTATATTTAAATAAAATTATTAAATAAATTAATAGCTGATAAAATTAATTTCAGCATATAAATCCAAGTTTATATAGATTTTAAGTATATTTTTAAAGTAAATAAATATATTAAAATAAGTAATAGTTTCTACTTTAGACTAGTTTATTAAAAATATAGAGACTTTTTTAATTATTATCTTTTTTCTATCAGTTCTGATTCGGTTTTATTTTTATTTTTATAAAAATATTAATTAGCTAAATAATATTTACTATTATATTTATAACAGCGAAGAATTTTCTTTCTTTAATTTCTTCTATTTTAAGAAGATTTAGATAAAGAGAACTTATTATTAGACTACAAAGATCCGGATCCTCTGAAAGCCTTATTTAGATAGTATCCTCGGTCCTCTGGATCTCGTTTCCTCTCGGGAGTCCGGTAGTTTTAATATATGTTCATAGATATATCGACTGAGTTCCGGTGCCAGCTTTGAAAAAAAGGTTAATATATATTTATTATCTTATTTAGATTCAAAGTAATGCTCTAAGATATTTAAATAAGAATAAAACTTTCTTAAATTCTAATCAGTTCGCTGGTAGGCCTGTTTAAGCTATTTTATAATATTAGATTATAAAATAGCTATATTTTAAATAAGAAAAAAAGTCTATTAATTAAAGTAATCCTATAATTTCTTAGTATTTCGGCGGTCTTCCGGGAATTTTTTATTAATATATTGGTACTATCTCTGCCGATAGATAAAGTCTAAATAGCTAACTATAGTTAGAACTTTTTAATTTTCTGTTTAATACTTCCGAGGGGCTTTTTTAAAAATATATAATAAATTACAAATCTACTCTGTTCTCTATTATAAACTAAACCAAAGAAAGAAAATAAAGATTTTTTTAAGTTTAATTTTTTTTTTTTTATTCAGAAGATAAGGTCGAGCTAGTATAGTATTATTATAATTTTATTAAAGATTCGATACTTTTATATTCTATTTATAATATTTAAATCTATTTTTTTAATTATTTTAATTATTTTAATTGGTAAATAGTAGCTTGTACTTCTTAAATATCTATTTAGATTAGATAATATAATTTAAAAGTAGACGAAGTATCTTAAAATAATTCTAATAAAGATTTATTAAATAATATATTATTTTTTCTTAAATAACTAAAAGTAAGAAGGATTAGAAATTATTAGAAACTACTTAATATAGTAGACACGCTGGTTAGACAAGACAAATAAAATAGTTAAAAGCAGTCTTCTATTAATTTTAAAACTAATTCTTAAAAAATCTTCTCCTCTAAAGAATCTTAGAATAATATATTATATAAAAAGAAGAGGTAAATAATATAATAATATAGATATCCAGATTGAAATCCCGACGAATCTGTATCGACCCCGAAGCGGCTGTTATAGTAGTAGATATAGGCTGCTGTAGCGGTAGGTATTGTATAACAGAAAGTCTAATAATAATTAGATAAAATATAAGCTGGGTAATTAAAAATAATATATTTTTTTTAATATAGTTATATATTCTTAAAATTATATAAATATAATAGATAATACAGCCTGACTTCTTCTATCAGCTGTTAAATCCTACTATAATTTTTTAAATTTTTAGAAAATATAATAATAGTTAATAGACTTCAGCCTAATTTTTATTTATTATTTTTAATATAAAGCATCCGGTATTAATTATAATATATATCAGAATCTTCTAATTCGGGAGGTTTAATATAACAGAAATAACTATTAAATTAATTTTTTAAAATTTTTTTTTAACAGAAATTTCTTTAATTATAGTTTTAAAAATAGTATATAATTATACTAGGGCTTTAGCCTGTTGGTAGCTTAAAATAAACTTAATTTTTTTAGCTGTTTATTAGAATTAGAAAAATAAAAATATTTTAATTAAAACTAATAATAAAACTATAATATTTATAAAATCTAAAAATAAATTAATTTATTAAGTACAGCTTTAATTATACAGTAGAAAAAAAAACAAATATAAGATTTAAAAAATAATAGCTATATAAATACTGTATATAGAATCTTAATATTAGATTTAAAATAATTTTTAATATAATAATATTAGCAGATTCTGTAGTAGGATTTAAATATTTTATTTATTTAATTATATAGATTAAATAGGGGCGGCTGTATTCTCTGTAGTTTTATAAAAAATTATAAATATTTTTAATTTTTTATTGTTTAAGTTTATTAATTTTTATATATAATAACAGCGGCTGATACTATTCTGGTAGAAAATTCTTATTAACTAGAATTAATAAACTAATATAAAATATAGAATATATTTTTATATTTAATAATAGAACTAGTTGGTATATATATAAATTAATAACTTTTTTAATTTTATATAGCCCTAGGTTATTCTAGTTAAGTTTTTTATTAGATTTTAGAGTTTTAATATAGCAAGTATCTAGTTATATTTTTTAATTTTTTTTAAATCTTTTAGCTGGTTTATATTTCCAGTTAACTTGTTTTATATATTAGATTTAAATAGTAGTTATCTCTGTTTTAGTAAACTTAATAATAGTCTATATTTTTATAGTAAACTAATCTATATCTTGGATAGTAGAACTGTTTAGAATAAAAACTAATTTAAATCTTATATAAAAGTAAAATCTATAGTTTATAAAAAATAAGATAGTCTTAATTATATCCGAATAAGTTATATTTAATATAAATTTAGCTAGTAAAAGCTATTAATTCTAGTTATTTTATAAATAATTTATATAGATATAGAAATATTATTTAAATATAATATTAACTTATTCTGTCTGGCTGTTGGTTTTAGAATAATAAATAGTTAAAAATTTACTAGTAATATCTAGTTATTATATTAGATATTTTTAGAACTTAAAAACAAATTAAAGGCCTTTATCTAAAAAAACTAATTAAAATAGTTTATATAGTTTTTATATATATTATATATATATTATTATAACGGCAGAAGTATTTACTGTTATATTATAAAAAATTAAATATTTTATTTTTATTAAATAATTAATAATAACTAGTATAGTATTATAACTCTGTCTTTCTGGTAGATATATAATAAAGTTTATAAATATATTTTACTAGACTTATTTAGAAATAGATAATAGTTTTAAGATTTCTTACTTAGTTTTTTGAAAAAATATGATTTATTAGTATATATAATAATTTCTTATTTATTAGTTTATATAATAATAAATATTAAACCAGTAGTATTCTCGGGCTAGAAGTTTATAAATATAAATTTTTTTAAAATATTTGAAGACAGACTTATTATAGATTAGATATATTAGCTCGGTCTTAATCTAATTATTATTAAATATTTATAGTTGGTTTTTATAAAATAAAAAGCTTTCTTTTTTTTATAAAATATAAGTAAAACTCTCGGATAGCAGTTTTTATTAGTAATTAGAACTTTTAATATTTTTTAATTTATTTATTTATTTTATATACAGTACAGAGGGGTTCTTATATTTTAAATAAAAGTTATAATTCTTATTTATTTTTAAAAACTATATTTTAGATTCTAATAATCAAGACTAGTACTTTAGTCTGTTTTAGAAGATTATTATTCTTAATTTATTTAAAGAATTATTCTGTTTTTTTTTTATTATTATTTTTATTTTTTAATAGGATCGGGAATAGTATCAGTAAGCAGATAGAATTAATATTTTTTTATTTTAGAATTATTTAGCTTTAGTATAGCAAGTATTTATTTTTTTTTTTAAAAAAATTATTTAATCTTCTGGTCAGGCTGTTAGATTTGATTTTATATTTTTTTAATCGATAAATAATTTTAAAGTTAAAATAAAATAGAAATTTTAATTATCTGGCCTGCCGGTAGTTTAACAACTTAATAAATATAAAATATTCTAGATTATAATAATTTAATATAACTTATATTAGAAATAATATTTCTTTTAATTTAAGATATTATTCTTCGAAGTAGCAGATAATAGCAAGCAGTTTCTTATTATAAATCTTATAATTATACTCGGCTAATATATGTTTTTTAGAAAAATAAACAACTAAATATAATATTTTATTATTTTTATATTAAGACAGAACTTCTTTCAAAATAAAGTCGGAGATATTAGTTTTTACTATAATATTATAAATTTAATTAAATAGCTATAAAACAAAGATTTTAATAAAAATATTTTTTAAATTTTTAAATATTTTCTGGCAGACAGAAGACCAGTCGAATAAGATATTTTTTTTTATTAAATATATAAATAATATAGTTAGTTTAAAAAAATCTTTAATAAACCGGCGGTAAAAGTTGCTAAAATCTAGAAAGACTTATATATTAGTTATATAAGTCGGAGTTAGTTACTAAACTATTATTTTAATTTTTTTTAAATCTATTCTAAATTTATTATAATTTATAATCAGATCTAAGAACTTTGTTTCTAATATAGTAAATTTATACTTTAAAAGTTTTATATAAAGACCGGCTTTATATAGTTTTTATAAAATATAATAAATATATTTCGAATATTCGGAACAAATACAGCTGTATATTAGAATATTATTAAAATATATAGTATAAAAAATATCTAAATAGTTTTTTAGAATATTATTAATATAATACTAAAATATAACAGGGGCTTTTATAAGCCCGAATAATATTATTAAAATCTTATAAAGTTCTAAATAGATTCTAAAAATAGTTAGATATTTTTAATCTTTCTTAATTCTAATATTATTAAAAATACTAATAATATTAATCTTTATAAAATATTATATTCTCTTAAAATTATTCAGGATTTTTTTTATAAGTAGTAGCGGGTATCGGTTTTTAACTAATATAGTATTTAAAATATAATAATTAACACAGAATTATAACTCTTCTTCGGGTTTTTTAATAAATAGTACTAGAAAGATAACTGGTAATAAGCTGAAATAAATAAAACCCTTTTTTAAATTCTTTAAAAGCTATTCTTTTAGAACTTGTAGTTTATTTCTGGATATTTTATATAAAAAGCTAAACAGTAGTATTTTTTTATTCTCTAGAATAATAATATAATTATAATCTTAATACAGGGGTAGTCTTTCGGCTTTTTTAAAAAAAAGATATTTTTAAAATTCTTAAACTCTTCAGATAATATAGATTTTTGTAGTTTAGTAATATTTTTTAATATTTTATTAATCTGATTTATAGTAACTATATATATAAAATATTCCCGGCAGGTGTATATAGTATATATTATTATAAAAATAAAATAAATATTTCTTTTTTTTAGGGGTTCTAAAAATATTAAATTTTCTAAATATATCTGTACAGATATATTATATAGAACTCTAATCTTCTGCAGTATTAAAAAAATATTATAATATATCTAGCAATACCAATTAATAAATTAGAATATATATTCGGCCTATTCTATTTAAAAATCATAAGCTTTTAACCAAGAAAGTCTAATAATAATTAAATAAAATATAAACTAAATAATTTAAAATAGTATATTCTTTTTAATATAGTTATATATCTTTAGAATTATACAGATATAATAAATAATACAGTCTAACTTTTTCTATTAATTATTAAATCCTACTATAATCTTCTAAATTTTTAAAAAATATAATAGTAGTTAGTAGGCTTCAGTCTAATTCTTATCTATTACTTTTAATATAAAGTATCCGGTATTAACTATAGTATATATCAAAATCTTCTGGTTCTAAAAGTCTAATATAGCAGAGATAACTATTAAATTAGTTTTTTAGAATTCTTTCTTAACAGAAATTTCTTTAATTATAGTTTTAAAAATAATATATAATTATACTGAGGCTTCGGCCTGTCAGCAGCTTAAAATAAACTTAATTTTTTTAACTACTTACTAGAATTAAAAGAATAAGAATATTCTAATTAAAACTAATAACAGAACTATAATCTTTATAAAATCTAAAAATAAATTAATTTATTAAATACAACTTCGACTGTACAGCAGAAAAAAAAATAGATATAAAATTTAAAAAATAATAGCTATATAAATACTATATACGGAGTCTTAATATTAAATTTAAAATAATTTTTATTATAATAATAGTTTAATTTATAATAAAAATATTTATTATTATTACAGCAGAAGATCTTCAGATAAAAAAACTAATAATATATAATAAATAAATTTATAGAATTATATTTAGATATAATAAATTATTTTTAGTAATTATTATTCTAGAGCTTATACTAGTCTTTTTAAATATATAAAATAAAATTAGCTGAAGACTTTTATAAACAATTATAAATCTTATTAAATATAAAAATCTATTTATTTTTTAAATCTTATAAAAAGATAGTAAGTTTAAGATATAAACTATTTAAATTCAAAAAATCGCAATAAAATAGTATCATTTTAAGATTTTTATTTATAGTTTATTTTAATATAATTAAAAAAACAGCATCTGGTATTTCAGTTCCTATAACTAAATATTAAAATTTAATAAAAAATACTATAAACTTTCTGTTTTTCTAGTATAGTCGGTATAGTTTATTATAAATATTATAAATACTATTTAGATTTCTAAAGACTTGTTCTAGTAGTTTTAGAATATTAATATAATTTTAAATCTAGTAATATTTATCGCGGGTATAAAATAAAATTTAGATATAAACAAGTCTGATTAAATAGCTAGTAATATAAATAATTCGGGCTTTAACTATCAGAAAATAGTTAGTATTAATAATTATTTTATTTTTAATCTAAAAGATAAAATAGAAAAAGTTTTCTTAAATATTTTTAAACTTATTAGAATTAGATATATATTCGGAGAGATAAACAAAAATAAAAAATTTAGAATTAATTAATATAATTATTTTTACTAAAGTAACTACAGATTTCTTAATAATAAAAACAGTTTTTGGGGTCTATACTAGAATATTTATTATAAAAATAATAATCTGAATAATTTTAGCGTATTTATATTAAACTTAATTTTTTTTTAAAGATAATCTTTCAGGCTATAATAATTTTAATAAACTATTAGATTATTCTAATTTTTTTCTACTGGACTTGGTTAAAGTAATAAATAAAAAAAACTTTTTTTATTTTTAATTAGTTTTAGGCTTTTATAGTATATATATAAATCTGATTATAATAGTTAAACTATTTATTAAAGTATTTATTAATATACTAAATAAATCTTTCAGAACTGTTTAGTATTACTAGAAATTATAAAATTACTAGTATCTTATCGGCTGTTATTTTTAAGAAAAAAGCTATATAATATTAAAATATAAGCTGGCTGAATAATAAAAATAGTAAAACTAGCTAAAAAAAGTTTTGATAATTTATTTTTTTTATTCTTTAACTATTACTCGGGTTAGGCTATTTTTAGATTTATAAATAAGATATAATTTAAAAAGCTATAAAAAGATTTAAAAATAAATAAATTTTTAAATAGATACAGGATTATATACAGCAGATAATCAGAAAGACAGATTAGATTATTAAAATTAATAGAATTAAACAGATTAAACAGATTAAACAGATTAAATAAATTAAATAGATTAAGCAGATCAAACGGGTCAAGCAGGTTAACAGAATACCTAGGATTACTGGGGTCAATGGGGTTGCACCGTGACAGCTAAACAGATTTAGTTTCTTAATTTAAAAAATTTATTATCTTATTTATTACTACTTAAATTATTTATATTATTATTAAATCTTATTCTTAGTCAACCGTATAATATTTTTTATTTAAATTAAAAAAATCTTAATTTTTATTTTTAGAACTTTATATTTTAGATTTTAAATTTATAAGATATAAAAAAATACTTTACAGTACTTTAAAAAACTATTAAGTCTATTTATTAATCTTATTTTTTAGTATTTAAATATCTTTAAATATAGATATTATCCGAACTTAAATAAGTACTTATTCTACTTCTATTAGTCTTATAATATAAGACTAATAAAACTTAATTTTATTAAAAATATTTTAAATATATTTTAGTTTTAGTTTTAATATTTTATTTATAAATTAAACTAAATTTATTATTAGAATATATTATCTAGACCTGTGCTGTTATTATTTAAAAAATTTTAATAATTTTAATATATTATACTATTTTAATTCTAATAATATTCCGATTTATTATATATAGTTAAAAAGCTTTTTAGTATTTTATTATAGTTAGTTTATTACTTAAATCTTAAGATTTAAAAAGATTTATATTTAATAATAATATATTTTATTTTTTATAATATAAATAACTGGCTAACTGTTTATAAATAAATTATTAGTTTTAAAAAATAAATAACTCCGAAATCTTACTGTTGTAAATATTTATATTAAAATATATTTTTTATTATTTATTATAAAATATAAACTTTTAATAAACTATAATATATTAAATAAAAAATAAAAATATAAATAAATATAAAATAATTTTTTTATTATTTAAAATCTTAA